CGTGGAATAGTGCATGGTATGCTGTCTTTCATATAAAAATTAAATATTTCCTAGTTAGCTTCCTTAGTTCAGTTTCTAACTTGCTTTTAAAACTTGAATGGTTCCATAATCCTTTCCATAGGAAATGTAACTTTCCTTTTGATTTTCATTGCTCTCTGCATCTCAGCGTAATTCCCCCCATGGACATCTATCCCTGCCCAGTCCCTGCTCCGAGCTCGCCTCCATCCCCAGTCTTCCACAATGACCTGCTCCTGCTTGTGTTCCTTAATCACATGAATATACTATGTGTTCATCTCTTATTCAAACCAAAGAACTGAAGTGCTGATGTGAGAGGAGGACTTCTCCTCAGGTCACTTCTCACCAATCGTCCTCTTTCTGAATTCCCACAACACTGACAATGGTCATCACACCATCCTGACTATTTGCCACAAGTCCATGTAATCTTTTTTCTCTAAAGATTTTCCAATTCAATAGAAGATAGAAATCACATCTTACATTTCCTTCAAGGTCCTCAAAGTACTCAACACTCAGTAAAATGAACAGTAAAAAACCTAATTCTATGTTTATATCTTAATTAGTTAAATATGTGTGTGCATATATATGTACACTTATGTTACTTGCAAAACTTAATATTAGACCTTGCACTTGCTTCTTAAAGTTACAATGAAAACCCATTACTTTGTATAAAACAGTGTGTTTTTTAAATAACAGTACAGGATGATATGGTAGAATTCTTGAAGGATACAGATAAAAGTCCTTATTGATTGTTTTTTCAAACAACTGTATGACCCTCTAACAAATCAGTTAACCTCTCTGAGCCTCAACTTTTATCTAAAAAATGTGGATATACCCAATTTGCAGAGCTGAGATGAGAAATAATAACTCATACAAAATTATCAGTGTACTTTTTGGCACATGGTAAAATTTCAAAACATGTTAGTAGAGCGCCTTAACCACAATTAGGATGGGAGACAGGGGTGCTGAACATGAGAAAGAAATCAAGACTAAGAAATCAGTGGTTTTGAGCCTGTGTGACTAAGGCTTGTCACAAAATAAATCATAATTCAATTAGATCAAGAATGGGTGTGGTGGCAATAAGTTAGGACAAAGTAAGGAGATTTATCTCATGTATGTGACCATAAAACCAAATAGGTCACAAAGTCTTCTGGGCTACAGATTTAACATAACTTGATAAAAAGCATCTATGAATGCTGTCAATAGCATGGCAAACTCAAAAAAAAAAAAAAAAATTAATGTTATACCCAAGAATGCTTCTCTATATTTTCAACCTTTCCAATTTTGCTAGATTTGCAACCTACACATCTTACTATTAGTAAAACTCGTGTGTATGTGTTTACACTGACAAGTGAATTAAATAAGCACTGATCAGGCATCTACTATGTGTTAAGCACTGCGTAGCAAAGTCTAATGGTGATGGTGGGCGAGATGGTGTACAAAGAAATTAGCAGAACCTGTCCTTCAGGATTTCATAGTTCAAGGATAAAGAGTGTTGTATGAATAATACAAAACAGATCCTGAAAGATTCAAAAATAGATGAAATACAAAATACAATAGAAGTTTAGATGTGACTCATTCTAATGAGGAAGGAGGAAAGTAAAGAAACTTCGCATAGGATAGAACATGTCAACTGGTATTTAAGGGTGGCCAAGGAGGCTGGAGGAAAGGGCCTTTTGGGCTGAGAAAAGTGTCTGGGTTATGGCTTGAGCATCTGTAACTTTGATATCCTGGAGCCAATCTCCCTCTGATACTGAGGGGCAATCATACAGGGAGGAAGATGTGCTAGGAAAGGTTGACTCTATCACAGTGGAAGACATGCCAGATTAAGGAGACAAATTCATTCTAAATCTAATGAGGAGCCTTCAGAGGTTCATGAACAGAAGAATGACCACTTAATTTGATAGCAGATACATGCAAGTCATACTGGCAAAAGAAAAGAATGGAACTAGGGAAACTGGATACGAGGTTATAATTGTATACAGGTGGGTAGTTAGTAAGGGACTGAGGGAAAGAACTTGTGAAATATTCAAAAAGAATTTTACAGGATTCGATATAGGATAGTGTATAAAAGGAAAAAAAAAAAAAATCAAGATGACCGAGGCTTGCAATTTGTATGGCTGAGGCTAATACTATTTTGGAGAGATGAAATTCAGGAAGAGGCACCAATTTGCAGGGAAGAGTAAAATAAGAAAAGTAGTTCTGATTGGGATCTGTTGAAGGCTAAGAGGAAGGAACTAACAGTCTAGAGTTTATAGAGTGCTGACCATGTGCCTGACCCATCCGAGTCCCCATTCACGTGACATTTCACCTCAGATTGAGTAGGAGATGCCTGGGTGTCATCTATCACCTATATAAAGAGATCTGTGGCTCTGAAGAAAAGTAATGGCTAGAAACAAAGATTTGGGTTTCCTCAACACAATTCTCCACAGAATGTAAGTTAAGTGAGAAAATACAGAGCAGACTCAAGGATAATCCAAAAAAAAAAAAAAAAAAAAAAAGGAAACTCCAGAGCCTTTTTTAATTTTTTTAATTGAAAAGCAAATCTGCCTTTTTCTAAACTCCAACTGCTGGGTTTTCATTAAAGCATGTATTTATGAGAGTGTCCTGCATATCGCTTCCTGGTGTCAGCTCCACTTCTACTCATATATATCGTCTCCTGAACCATGGGGCCCAGAAGACTGAAAACCACGTTTTCTCAAACTGGACTGGCAGCTAGATTTTGCCAGTGAATGGCACATGCATGAGAAATAAGGATGGGGGATGCCATTTTGTTCTAGTGTTGGCTCTAATAATTTCAGTGGTGGGGTCGCTCAGGGCAGAGGCAAACTGTTCCAGCACTGCCAACCAGAGTGTGGGCTTTAGGGCTGAAGGTGGCGCCCCCTTCTTCCTTTGGCTCCATTGGGCCCGATAACACTCTTTGTAAACAATTGCTTAAATCTCCTCTGCAGTTTTAAATACCTAGAATGGTTTTGGTTGTAGAGGCTGACTCACATCCTAGATATCACATGGGAAAAATGTAAAGATAGAAACGATCTACCTAATCCTTTAAAAACTGGATTTTACAGACGATAGAAGCAATCATTTTAATTTTACAGAGAAAAACAATATCTTCAACTAACGTAACTATATTCCAAACTTGTTCAATAAATGCCCTTCAGAATAAACTGATTTAACTGAGTTAAAAGAATGAAGTGAAGGTTCCAGAAACTCTTCTCAGTAAAGAAACATAGAAGGGAGCTGGGATGCATTAAAGAAAGAGATCATTGCGTTTCCCAGCCACAGACCAAGCTCCAAACCAAGCTGTGCATGATTCTTCGACTCATTTACTGCCAAGTTGGAAAACACATGCCCAAAGGGGAGCAGTTATTGAACATGAAAAAGTTATTAATAAAAATAATGATTATTGTAATGAAAATTATCCAACATACAGAACATTAGCCAGGTGCCTAACACTATACAAAGACAAAGTACTTAATATCTTTTATTCGATTTAATCCCCAAAATATCTTATAAATCTGGTACAATTATTATCCTTCCTTTATTCCCAGTTGAAAAACTAAGGCTTGGAGAATCAAGTGATTTGCCCCAGGTCACACAGGTAGAAGTGGTGGAACACGAATAATTTGTAATTTTAGAAAACGTATACTTTCTAAAGAAAGAAGAAATGTGGAGAAAATGCCTGATGAACTAGGTAAATTGGCCTTAAATTATCATTGTTAAAACTAAGGCATGCTACCATTACAGTTTTTGGGTATAAAGAAATTGTTTTTGAGAGAGCTGTTCAAAGCTAGAATGTTGTGTGGATTGTACAAAATACATAAAATTGCCTCTAACCAAAAATGTCAGGAATCGGCTATTTTAGAATAATTTATGTTATTTCGGCCTGGAGCCACTCTCTACGGCAACATTTCAGTGACAAAGAGATTGTTCCTGACTGTGGCTGGGGAAAAGCTATTATTGAAGGAGGAAGAGAAATATAGTGTTCTTTCCCTGAAGAATAAAACAGTACTAAAGTCATCCCAGGCAGTGCTATCCATTATGTGAAACACTGACAGAGAGTATAAATGAAGTCAAAAGAGGAAAGGGAACTAAATTTTAGGTGACCTAATTTCTGTTAGAATTTTATTGACTGAACTCTGCCATATAGAGATTCAGAGTCATTTTCACCTTCATTCATATAGTGCACACAACTAGACGCAGATATGTCCCAAAACAGGTATTTAATTAAGTGTGTGTTTTCATAGGTGAAAGAGTTGGTTACCCACCTGGGGTAAGAAGAGTTGACTGAGGTGACAGAAAAGTGGAAATGGGGTGGCAAAGTGAACAGTAATAAGAAGAGAGGACCAATGACTCTTCTGGGGCATCAGAAAGCCAGCCCATTTACTGACAGCATTTTTTCAGTTTGCAAAACATTTTCATTTTCTGTAATATTTAGAAAATCATAATGCAAGGCTCATAAATTAGAATTAAATAACACAGTAAATATTACAGAAAATAAAAATGAGCTTCAAAGGAGCTAAATGATTTTCCCAGGGTCTCAGAGCTTTCAAGAGCTAAAGTTTGGGCTCCTGACCCCACAGCTGGCAGTTTTTGTCCTCTAAAGCCAAGTCTGCTAATGTAAGTGACAAATCTGAGGAAAAATCAAGTCAGTTGTATGAAATACAGGTTTAAAAAATAGAAACACATCAGGATTTTTAAAAAGTATTCTGTGTAGGAGGATAGCTGAGTTATTAGAAATGGCTGTGTACCTCACAACTGATAGCCCAGCTCCAAAGTAATTTAGCAGTGGTTTTGATACTTCTTCTGCATCCATTCCAAACCAGCCAAACCTGGAAATTGAGAAAGTCACACCAAAGTCGATACTGTTGAAAATGTGTTCATCGTAGTGTCTGAGGGCATGAATTCGAGGTCAGATTCCTAGGTTCAAATCCTAGGTCCTCTCTTACTGTGGCTCGAATACGTTAACCATCTTCACTGTGTCTCAATGTTCCATAAACATTCTTTAAAATAGGGATAATTATACATTTCTTATAGGTTTCTTATGAAGATTAAATGAGTTAGAATATGTAAAAGTACTTGTAAGTGCCCCTTTCTTATGAAGACTCAGGAAGTAAGAAGGAAAAATAGGTTAAGTGGCTAATTGAATCCAATTAGTTGGTTGTAATTTTATATAGTATTTGAAATAGATTTTCAAATAACTGCTTGGCTAAAGACCCCTACTCTTCAGCATCACCTTATATTCCTTTTATTTTCATGCCTTGACATTGCAGTGATCATTATCAACAATCACTGTGAACCATTCAGGGGCGAGAGAAAAGGAAAGCAAGAAGAAAAAGAAAAAGAAAATAGCACATGGAAAAAGCAGGGTGGGGAATGGGGAAAGGACAGGAAAGCATGTATTGGAGGTTAGTTGGTTTTGCGATTATTGAGGTTGTTATAGTGTTTTAAGTGGGAAGAGGAGCCCAAAAAGTAAGGTAAGAGCAACATCCTCCCTTTTATTCATTTTCCTAGACTCCTGAATGCTACACTTGATGCTGGCCAAGGGCAGTACAGTCCCGTAGAACGTTTTGAGTTGATGGGACTGTTTTACAACTGCACTGTGCAGTAAGGGTAGCCTGTGACTGTTGAGCACTTGCAACATGGCTAAGACAACTGAGGAAAAGAATGCTTAATTTTATCAAATTTTAATTAATTTAAATTTAAATATAAATGGCCACATAAGGCTTGTGACAGCCCTATTGACAGTCTAGCTCTAGAGCTGAGGTTGGCAAATTCTTACTTAAAGGGGCAGAGAGTAAGTATTTTAGGCTTTATGGGCCAGACATTTTCTTGTAAATACTCAACTCTGCTACTGTAGTGTAAAAGCAGCCATAGACAACACTTAAGTGGATGGGTTTGGCTGTGTTCTAGAAATGCTTTATGTACAAAAATGGCTTTATACCTGGGCCTTGGTTTGCTGTCCCTGGCCCAGACTTTAGAGGGAAGAATATGTACTTTAGAACCAGAAGACCTGGGCTTGAATCCTGCCTTATTAGCTCTGTGACCTTCAGCAAGTTACTCAACCTCTACGTGTATCATCTCTCTTACAAAATAGTGCTTTAGGTATTTGTGAAAATGAGGAAAGAATGATGCATACAACCTGTCCAATAAATTATCACTCAATGAAAAAGGAAGATAAACATCAGTTCTCTTTCTCTCTCCCTATTTTGGTTCCTTAGAGATAATAATTCTTTACTATATCTTGATCAAATATCTAGATCACTTCTTTAGGACTTAGGGTAAATAATAATTAAAGTAGCGTATTTTATATGTATGTCTTACCAGCTGTACTCTCTGAGAGTGTAAGAATCATGTGTTATTCCTTTCAGCTAGCCCAAGCCCTAGCACTTGACTTATATAGAATATGAGCACAGAGAATTTTAGTTGAAATAGTTCACTTTGTGTTACCTTGAACTTGCCCAGCCAGTTAAGGCATTAAGTGATCCCCAGATTAAGAGTCCAAGGCCTAAACCAATGGTTTTGATAATTGGGACAACAGCAACGTTCCCTGTGAATGTAACATAACAGAAGAAAGGTGTTATTTCCAATATAGAAAATACATTATAAATTGAATCAATTTTTATTTTAACTTCAACTTAAGTTTATGGAATTTGGATACATTTAATAAAGCAGAGGTCCTCATTTTAAAAATAAAATAACCACACTTCGGGGGCATTAAACTTATAATTATGATTGCTAAAAGAACTAGGCTTAAGGCAAAATCTTACCAAAAGAGTTGAATTAGCTCCTTGCCTACCTGTACCAATGCTTTTCATCCTTAACGTCGACCTCTGACTTCTGACTTTTTGCACTAGCCATCAGCGATAAAATTGGTAGTGACCATCCTCTTAGACTCCAGGCAGGATCAGCCACAGGCAGATATCTTTGGCCCACTGTGACCCCAGAGTTTGCTCTTCCACACTCTCTCACCTGTGTTCTAGATTCCTGCATTCATTGCTTTGTGCTCTTAAGGGTCTTCAGGGCCAAAATCGTATCTTTTTTTATAGTTCTTAGCCCCTCAGCACTCTGGCCTCAATTCAGCAATCTCCTCTTGAAAGCTTTCCTCTCCTGGCTTCTACGATGCCCTCATCTCCTGATCCCCTCCTATTCCTCTCTTTAGCTCTTTCTCTGGCTAGTCTTTCTCATCACACTTTCCAGATTTAGGTGCCCAATAAATACTTTCCCTAGAACACATTCCTCTTCTTGCTGTATCCTTCTTCGGTACTTGACTAATTTCATGATTTCATTTATCAACTAGAGACACATGCTCCCAGTGATACAGGTCTAGCCTGGACCTTTGGCACAGTTTTAGTGCTATGCTTCAAACTGCTGATAAGAGAGCTCCAACCAGAGGTCCTCACTGTGGGAACACCAGGAACTTCAAACTCAGAAAGTCCCAAGCTGAACTCTGTTCCCCTATCTCAATTAGATATGATAAACACAATCACACTAAGGTATAAGTGAGGTATAATAATTTAAATTCTAGTAGAAATTTAAAAGTTAACTCTTTTGTTCTCCAAACTCATGAACTTCACTAAATCATTTGTTCTGCAGAGATTCAAATTGAGTGGGTACTCAATAAATTTTTAATTTTTTAAAATTTACTTGCTTTTAATCAAATTACCTCTAAAGATCCTTAATACTTAGAATTCTCTTTGCTAAAGAGAAGAAAGCTCTCTTGAGGCCTACTTATATTAATACAAAGAAAAACTAAAACATTCCTGATTGACCAGGCAAAGGAATGAATTTCAGTTATATAATTTCAGGTATTGATAAGGCAACAGAAGAAAAATTTTTATTTGCTTTTGTTTTTCTGCCAGTGCTTTCAAAATAATGTGTCTGTGTTTGCCCACTTGTGAAGACAAGTCCTAAAAATGGTATTAGTAGAGACTACTATTTAAGAAATATTTTCTGATAAACGTTTCTATCAGGGACTAAGAAAGAAATCATTACGAGGAAAGAGTCAAGAAATGCATCAAAAATATTTATGGAACGTCTGAATGAAAGAAACTAAATTGTCAGTTTCTAGTATCTATGACTAAGGATTATTCGAAATTACTGTTTATATTATTTCCTTCTATTCTAAACCAGAGTTATTTTGATCACAGTATACATTGATTAAAGTATTAAATGATAAATGATATCATACATTACCTGTCGCCCAAATGCAGCCCCCAACCATTGCAAAAGGCCAAAACTTAGGGCAACGTAATATCAGATTGGCCACCAAGGCAACCGACCATATGGCAGCGCAAAGTACCCACTGGAGAAACATGCCTGGAAATGAAAGACATTGGTGTCAGTGGTTCAAACTGACCTTAGTAAATTAACGCTTTTAGGAAATATCAGTGAGATGGTATTATAGGAATGGCCACAATTTATTGAATGCCTATATGCCAGACACTTTGCACATTTAATATAATTTTTAAATTACAGCCCATAATAATTATCCCAAATTCAAGCATGGAGAAAATGCATCTGAGATGAAGCAACTTGTCCAAACAGCTAACAGTTTGTAGAATTGGAATTTAAACCCAGGTCGTTTGACTCTAAAGCTCACTATACATAGAGCATTACTGCTTAACATTTTCCCACCTTTTAGACAAATCAAAGATATTCTACCAAAAAGTATTCGCAAGACCACATCTCTATATATTTTTATTCAGATGCCACACCTAGTGTTGTTCCTCACCAAAAACATCAGAATAGCACAACAGTGATTTAAACCTTTAGGAATCATTTATGCTACCTTCAGGAGAAAAATAGTCATTTATGGTCACATGTAGACATCACACAGAGTTGAATGTCTGTGATGAGACAGACATTAACAAAACTGAGAATTAGTCTTTTAGGTCAGGAACATTCTCCTTTCTGTGGTATATACCTCACATCACATGGTGATGTGAGTTATATCTGTAGCTTTCCGAGGCTTCTGCATCATCAAGGGTTTAAGGATTAAAAGAATAAACAAAAAATTGACATTGGAAGAAATACTAAGGCAGTTATAACTCAGGATAGCACTTCTGACTACAACTTAAAGGTTTTTGCCTGTTTCTGTGGAAGAGAGGGGAAAAAAAAGGCTGTTAACCTCTAAGACAAAAAAGAGTAGGATCATAAAGATAAAAGGGAACTTCATTTTACAAGTTCTTCATTTTATAAATGAGAAATTGAGAACAAAATAGCTGATGAGACTTGCTCAGTTATTGTGAAACACCTAAAGGCCAGGTCCTCTGCCCCTTAGTATGATTTTTATTCTTCTATTAGTAGTTTCCATTCCTGTCCTGACTCCAAAGGAAAAGAAAAGCTGTGGAGGAAAAAGATGTGTAATTCTATTGTCTAAGCTGTATCAAGACATAAGAAATTGAGGGAGATAACGCAGCTGCTTCCCAACAGGTGTTCACCATAACATCTCCAATCCCATCTCTGGCAGCTAGATAAAAGCAACTGTTGCTTCGTCCCTCAAAATCCACATTAAGTCAGTTCTACTGTAATGTGACATTACGTTCCTAAAAATCACTGCACTATGCAAAATCATGCAATAAAAAGCATAGAGCTTATGGGGAAAATGGGGCTATGGCACAGCACAAAAACTTCATCAACAATCTATTTGACAAAAAGATAGGAACCAGATCAAAATAATAGTATGGTTTTACACTGATGAAGTGGTTAAGAAATTTGCAAATACTACAATAAATATAGCACTTTAAAAAGACCTGCAGTTTGCTTATGGAAGTGGGCACCAGAATTATTGTTGCTTGTGAGTTATTGTGAAGTGGTAGATGGAAGCTTCTAACACCAACCGAGGATGGGTGTGATGCTCAGGGAGCTGGTGGGTGTGTGAGGGGCGTGTGTGCATGCGTTTTGTATGTTACTATGCATCACTATCCATCTGGGTACAGTTTTCTGTGTTCAGCTAGTGTTTTGTCAATCAAAACAGCGCATAAGCAAAAATTTGTGTTGTGCTCAAATTGTTCTCTATTCTATCAATTGCGTTGAAAATTTGTATTTTCAAAACAAGTGTTATTAGTGGGATGGACAAACTTCCTTCTTTTGTAAACAAAGCAGATATGGCTAAAAAGCTTTCCTGATTGTATCCATAGAGAAAATAAATAACCTTAACAACATTAAGGTTACCTTGTATTAACTAACTCTCAGATAAACTGGCATGGGCATTATCAAATGATATTATTTTAAGCTCTATTCATTTGGCACCAGGTTCAACAAAATTTACTTTAGCCATCATTTTTAAAAGACTCAAAAAGAGAACTTCATATTTAAAAATAATTTAAGGTTAACAATGAAGTAAAAGTAATTACCATCACCAGTATCATATTTTTTAAGTGGCACATAGTTTGAGCCAAACAAAAGGATGGCTACAGAAGAGGAGATGAAACCAGTGGTTAGGTCTGTTTCATTGTTGCTCATGGTTCCAGTTCTGCCCGAGCGCAAGCTGGTTCACTTTAGACTCGATGTACTTTTCAAGAGCTTCTGAAATAAAAGAAATAAAAATGAGACAAAGAAGAGGTCAATAAATTGTGAACAAATTGTGATTAATACATGGTATTTTTTGAGTTTTTCAAAAGTACACTAGGATCCCTTCTTCCAAATAAAGTTAGGACATTATGAAATTAGGTATTATGTTCACACTCTGTTCATTCATTTTTTTTTTTTATTTTATCAAAAAACTTTTTTGATCACTAACTTACAATTAAAAAAAAAAAACTTTTGTCTTCAGAGCTTGAAAGCCTAACTTCTTCCAAGATCTGGATACAATTTTTAATATATCATTAAAAACATAAAAAAAAAGAAAGAAAGAAATTCTCCTGTGTAGGTTGACTAGTATAATGAAAAGATTTGTGGACTAGGATTCTGTTTATTGTGACAATCAAATAAGAGAGCATGTGCAAGGACTTTCAGAACTATCAGTGCCTTACAAGCAAAAGCTTTTGTTATTAATTCTGACGTGAACTTACAGGCACATTTAGGTTGCATTGCTACTACACACTCAGGATCCCCTAGAGGTAAACGCACTTTTCTTTATCAGTAATACCCCGCAGTATGTATTAGTTTAAATTATTTCATTGAACCGTATATCTTTACTACTTTTTAAAAGACTGGACAGATAGAAGAATCTAAAGATCTCACGAATCTCCTAAATCTTCAAGATTTAGATTCTTGAAGAACCTCTTCAGGAATCCCCTCAAGTGCAAGTTCAGCCATGGTATGTTGCACAAGACTGTGCCCCAGCCGGCAGAACCACGTGCGGCAGCTACTCTGCTATCTGTGTAATCTGGTAGCCACTAGCCATGGATAGATAACTGAATTTTCATTTACATTAATTAAAATTAAGTAAGAGAAAAAAAAATTTGTTCCTTAGCCACACTAACTACATTTCAAGCGCTCAATATGATACATAACGAGTAGCTACCACACTGGGTCGCGCGGATGGAGACATTTCCATCATAGCAGGAAGTTCTACTGTACAACGCTGCTAAGCTGATTTAAAAGTTCTAGTTTCCCTATGAAGAGAAGACCTAAAACCACAAATAGCCAAGAACCAGACATTTTTCATAATATTTGGAAAAGGCTACTGAATACAAGTCACCTTTTTAGTTGTACAAGCTACGTGAGAAAAAAATTACACAAAGGAGTCATTTATCACAGGAGGTAACCAGAGTCTTCCCACAATACCATCTTAAATTCAGATTTTGCACATTGACCTTTTGATCCACTTCATTATTTAAGTCTTCTGGAATAGAACAGGATAACCCAGTCTTTTTTCTCCTCCAAATTTAATTTTATAGTGATAACTTCTTGTAGATATGTATTAAATAAAGTACATCTTAAAACACTTTTCCTTGTTATTTTTCAATGTTAAACATTTACTTCAAAGGTATTTCATTTTTCCATGTACTGTTTCTTGTGTTGTTACAGAGAATATTAAGTATACAACTACCTACAATATATGCTTTTTAGCATTATTATGGATAATTTAACTGAAAACAGGGATAACTTCAAAATGGCTGAATTAATTTTAGTAAGAAAAATATCTTTGAAACTGTTATGTGTTTCCTTAAAAAAAAAAAACAAAAATAAAAAACAATAACAAAAAACGAAAACAGTAACAACAAAAACACTGCTGGTAAGACAACATCATCCATGGGGATGAAGTCGAGGAAGAGGCATTGAGGCATATTTAAACACTGACACAGAACACTATTACAATAAAAATAATAATAGTTATTATTATAACTATTAACTGTTAGGTGAAAAGAAAGTTTTAGTCTTGCAATGGCTTACATGGACTATTGCTTTAGGGTCAAGCAGGTAGGGGTTGTTAATGTATCAGGATTATAATAAGTTACAGGGGTAGGAGGTGCTGGGAAGGATATCATGGGGCTAAAAAGACACACGATTAGGTGTTAGCTAAGAAACCAATATTTTTTCCATCTTAAAATAAGCAAAGTGAAACAAAACCTTTATAAGTACATTGATTAAAGAATGCATAACCTTCAAAAGTGGCAAAGTATTTTAGTGAAGAGATGGCTCTATTTAAGAATACTGACAGCCCTAAATCTCCCAGATTTCACTACATTAAAAGAATAATTTGAAGTGCTAATCAGAGGGCAAGAACTACATTTTGACTGCTGAATAAACATTAATCGGTGTTACTTTACTTTAAGTTATTTTCTGCATATATATAAATGAAGTTTGTTGCATACAGCTCTGGCACATTTCAGAAAGCATGTGATGTAACTTCAGTGTGAGCTGCAATACACTTACTATCTTTAAGGAAGAGTCTACCTCTTTCTAAATCAATAAAATTTTTGTAGAAAAGAAAAATAATATCTTATAATAATAGCTTCAGCACATTATTCGCAATTCTTTTTGGTCCAAACCCATCGAGTTAACAGATCTCAAACTACTTTATTCAAATAAACTTTAATTTAATATATTTTAGATTAGCTTTTTATGTTTGCTTTTGTGTCCATATTTTATAAACTATATTTATTCATTTTTGGTTCTAGTACTTTTGTTTCATTTAGTAGTAAATACGTTTGCTCTAAATTTCTCCTAGCAATTTAAATTTCTATGCAGACCTTCCTGTTGATATTTGCTAGGTTCTAATCCATACTGCTTGTTCCACTTCAACTAAGCTTTCGGTTTTAATTTTATGTTAATTTCCTGAAATCTCCTGGCAAGCTCTGCCCGTGTCTTTGGCTAAAATTAGCAGTGCTTGAACATACTTATTCTGAGCCTTGATTTTTCTTTTTAATTGTGAGCACGTTTTGAAAAATCATGAGACATTCCCCAGCAAAGCTACTTGGGTTTCCTTTGAGTCACTGTACTCACTGCAGTCAGGGCTGGCAGCTCGATCCGCCTACACAGCGCTGCTGGTGAGGAGCCTGCTTGGTGTTACCTGCAGTCAGGTGCCTGGCCGGACTTTACTTCCTGCCGGGACAGCTACTTAAGTATGCACCGGGCCGTGGGGGCGGGGAGGGGGCGGTGGGGACAAAGGTGGGGGCAGAGGAGTGGGCTTTTGCGCCCATGGCCCCAAGGCTTCGTTCCCTAGGCCCTTTTAGGAAGCCTAGCTAGCCTTTACTTTCTGCAGGGAAAATGACCTACACACCTGATGGGGGTAGAAGGGAGGGCTCCAGAAATCAGGAACCAGAGGCCTTGCCTGTGGTAGTAGGTTGGAGAACATTTTCCTTCAGCTGCCCTGCAGGAGTGTACGGGCTTGTGACTCTCCTGTGGCTCTGATGAAGAGTCCTCAGACCATTTGTCAACCTACCAGCAAACTAGAAAGGCTTTTGTGTATTTGGAGAAGTGATTGTTCAGGGAACTGTGAGCTTGCCACTCTCTCCAAACATTACAGAAGTGGGAATTATTTGTACTATTTATGTATAAAACAAAAGGTGGGATAATTTTACATAATCGTAAAAGATTATATAAAGCTGATTTTTTTTTTCCCACTGAGTATCAAGAAATTGATCTGAACCACTAAAGTCATTAACATCTCTTGCGACATCACAAGATTTCACTTGTAATCATTGCTCCAGACCATTTATCTAATATGTACCGAGTGCCACACGAGAACATATATTCTAGGCTTCTCAAGCTCCACTGCACATTACATATCTGGGGAGGTTTCTTGTTTTCTTTTTTTAAATACTGATACCTGGACCACAGACCAGACCAATTGAAATAGGATTTCCAGAGGTGTAGCTCAAGAATCGGTTTCTTTTAACTCCTCCTCCAGGTGCTACTAATGTGAAGCCAGGATTGAGAATCACATTCTAGATCAATAGTTGACAAATTATATTGGTGGTCAGAATTACCCAGAGGAATGGATTAAAATGCAGATTCCTGACATCTTGACATAGATTTTGAGAAACATTGCTCTAGTTCCTTGCTATCTGATATGTAGCCACTGAGTGCATGTGGCTATTTAAATTTATATTAGAATTAAAAATTCAGTAGTTCACTTCTACTAGACACTTTTCAAGTGCTCAATAGCCATGTATGTAAGTTATAGAACATTTCTGTCACTGCAGAGTTCTGCTGATTGTTAACTCTGGGAGTGCAGCGGTGACCTATAACAGAGTTATACTTTCTTGTAGGTTCCAGCATAGCAAGGAACACAGAAATGAACAAATAAGTTCACAAAGGGGAAGTGCTGGGTTCTGTCCTACTCTAAGAGTTCAAGGAAGGTGTCTCTGAGGAAGCGACGTTTAACTGAGACAACCCAGTGGTGGTAACGGTTGTGGAATTAGAAGAGAGAACATTCAGGACTGTCCGAAGATGAGGTGTCCCGGAAGGATGTCCTGCTTCAAACACTGCTCACGTTCATAAACTACAGTGTGTGACAGGCAGATGAAAGGGGACAGTATCATATCGTTTAAAAAATTCAAGAAGCTAAAGCTTTTCACTTAAGGGAAGGCATTAATTAAGCAGTTCAGAACAATTTTGAAGTTCCCCTTTCCTCACATACATACTCACGGATACACACACAAACTCTCTCAGCCAAAAATATAGGACCTAAACACAACCTAGAATTATTTCACTTTTTGATTTCGAGAGACCTCAATGATCATGTGGTTTGTTCTTGCTGCACATTCACACTGAGAAACCGAAACACCCATTGTGAATTCTCTAAAATCTAAAAAGTGAGTTGGAGTCTGAGTCAGGCTTGAGGGCATTTATTACAGAATATTCCAGTTCAGTGCTTTTCACATTGTGCCACAGAGCCAACCCAAATATGGATGATCCTCTACTTAAACTACATTTTTTTTCTTTCAAATTGTTTAATATACACTAATGCCTAAACATAAAGGTCTGTATTGGAATAGTCTTGGCTGGCACTGGAAGATCCTGCATAGTTTCTATTTTTTTTTTTTTTTTTAAGGCAAGGCAACTTTGGTTGA